CTAGTAATTAGTACATATATATATATATATATATATATATATATATATAAAATATCTTTATTTATTGATAAGTAAAATTAAGTTCAAAAAGTTAACATCAAGTATTAAATGTGGTACCTTTTAACATCACATTATGTGTATACACATGTATATGTAAACATATTATATTACTGTATTGTAATATTGAGAATATTTTTTTTAGTTGAAATTGTTGAAGAAATATTTGAAGAATATTATAATAGTTATTGTAATATTGTAACATCCTAATTTTAACATTTACAAAATAAATTAATTAAAATTTTTATGTTATTATTTGTATATTTTTAATCAATATATTAGTAAAAAAAGAAAATAAAATTAATTAGATATTGTAATTGATTTTTTAATATATAAATTTTAGAGCAAATATAGATAAGAAAAGGACAGAGATAGAATTAAAATACTTAACATCATTCTTTATAAGAAGAATGTTGTAAATAAAATTTATAGGCAAAAGATATATAGAATGAAAATAGATCATTAATGCCATCTTTTGAATACCAAAAATCTTTTTAAAGGCAATGTAAAGTAGGTAAGAATTGAGAATTTTTGAGTATCTCTTAAATATCATAACAGATGGCGCAGATTATCATTTTCTATTCTACCTTATCTTTTGTTTTTAAAAAATGTCATTGTTTCTTAAGAGATAACATTGACAGTCAATTTTTATTCTATCTCTATTCTTTTTCTATTATTATTATTTGCTATCCTTGCCTATTTGAATTTCATTTTAGCACTCTAGAGATGGCGTTCTATAATTTTTAATCTATTTCTGTCCTTCTTTCTCTATTATCTTATTTTTTTATCTATATTCAATCTAAAATTTATACATTCAAAAAACAGTTTCTATATTTCATTAATTTTATTACCTAACCTATTGAAGAATTTGATTAGAGTTTTTTGATCCAATTTTAGAAAAAAAAAATGTATTGAATGTTAGATCTATTCTTTGATTTCTTGTCTCTTTTTATTGGTACCTTGTTCCATCTGCGATAATATATTTGATGATGTAATTTTGTATCAAAGCTAAGTTAAAATAAAACTGTATGTGATGTGATTAATGAAATATATTTAAAATCGAAAGTGCATATATTATTTATTATAACTTTAGAATTTTATTTTAATAAAATTATTTATATTTTTTTTTCAATAAAATTTTTTCAATAAATAATATTAACATATATTAACAATATAGTATAAATTGTTTCTAACTTGCATTGGATTGTCAAGTAGATGCTATTTAATTTTGACATTTATTTAATTATTAAAAAGTGTTTTATATACATATACGTGAAAAAGTTAGTATAAAATAATAGAATTTTCTATTTCATTATTAAATAAGTGGTGATATTTCAATTTTAATTTTTCAATAAAAATTTTATTATTTTATTGATGATTATATTTTATTTTTTCAGCTTCATACAATCCTTTTAGTTCAAAAATTAAAATATAACGTGAATGATGGATCATCAAATATTTAAAATATACAATCAAGAAGATTTTAATAGAATTACAAAAGGAATTAAAGTAGCACAATGCATGCAATCACGATCGTCATCTGGTAATTATATCTAGAATATTCATTTTCCTTAAAATGTTATTTAATGTGAATTTATGTTCATATTAGAAATTATGATTGTAATTCTAAAATTATTACTTTCATGTTTTTTTATAATTAAGAATATTTATAAAATTTTAATCATTTTATTTATCTATCGTTTTATTACGTCATTCAAATTAATAAATTTACAACTTTTAAATACAGAAAATATATATTTGAGGTTATTATATTTATTTATTTTTATAAAATCGAGAATTACTAATGATATTTAAAAATAATATCTTATTTTTATTATGAAAATTTATAAAATGAAAATAAAATATTTTTTATATATTTTTATATTAGTTTCAGAAAATGAGAAATTATTGAATCAACTTGATGATTTAGTTGTATCCGATTCTTTAAGTTGTTCATTTTGTAATACTATATTTGAAGATAAAGCACAACAGAGGCTTCATTATAAGTTAGATTGGCATCGATATAATTTAAAACAACGTTTAAATGGATTAAAACCTATAAATGAAGATAAATTTAGCCTTCTTGCTGATGAAGGTATTAAAATTATTAATTCCATGATAAAATTATCGCATTCAATATGAAAAGTATTTTATTGTTAATATTATAGGTAATGTTTCGAGTTTATCTGGTAGTGATGTAGATTCTGAAAATGAAGATGAAACATATGTTTCGGAAACTGGAATTTTACCTAGTGGACATTGTGAAAATAGAAATCTTATTAATAAGAATAAAAAAATTGAGAAAAAAGGAAAAAATATGGAATCAATTTCTGATAGTTCTGATACAGAATGTTGTGATGATATTATAAAAGAGAAAAAAACTGAAGATTTATTAATCACTGCAAGTCGTCATTCAAAAGTTTTTTTTGAAAATGATGATGGAAATATATTTAGTATATACAGGTGTTTACTTCATAATAAAAAGGTCTGTTCATTTATAGTAATAGAGATATAGTTTTGTAAGTAACTTTCTCTGAGTATAGACATACTTGTCTATGATTTTATCTTGTAATTTAATCTACTTTATTAGAATCACTTGGCGTGTCTATACTTGCCAGATCAGGAGAGATGCAATTACATTTTAGGAAATTCCAGAAGTAGACAATGAGATGATTGCTCAGGCATTGGACAGTGGGAGGAAAACGACATGGACTGTTATCATGATTGGTGGAGGACATTTTGCTGCAGCTGTATTTCAAGGTATTAATATTAATATCTAAGAAAATATTCTGTATTATTATGAATATTATTAATATATTTTTGTATTTTAGATGGAGAACCCATTGTACATAAAACATTTCATTCCTATACTGTACGAGCAAAACAAGGCTTTGCCCAAAGTTCGCGTACAACAACTAATCATGCAAAAAGTGCTGGAGCTAGTTTGCGTCGTTATAATGAAGCATCTCTTCTTCAGGTATTTAATTTATAAATTTAAATAAGAATTATTTTCACACTATATTTATTAATCTTTTTTTTTCAGCATGTGCAAGATATACTTGAATCATGGTCATCTTACATTAATAATTCCTCTCTAATTTTATATAGAGCTGTTGGTCCATATAATCGAACTGTATTATTTGGAGGAAAAAATCCACCTTTAGATAAGAATGACTTAAGATTAAGACCATTACCTTTTCCTACTCGTAGAGCAACATTCAGTGAAGTTAAAAGAGTGTATGATATATTAAGTACAATGGAAATTTATGGTACAATATTAATATTGATTCTAAATATTTCAATATATTTATATTTACTTCATTAATACTTATATTATTATATATATAATACTATTTACTTCATTATATATTGTAGGTTCTGCAGCTGATTTTACAGACTCTTTTCCTATTTCACCTCGTCAACCTCTTAGGAAAAAATTGTCAAAAACTGATGTGTCTGGCGAAATTCCAATAAAAACAGAAAATGAAGAAAACGATTCTAATGCTTCCAGTAATATCCGTAATACACAAAATAATGATAAGAATAAAATTCCTGCTCAACCATCTCCTGAAAGACAACATAGAAATTCTCGATCTTATATAGATAGAGCAAAACCAAGAAAAAGTCCATGCCGTCCTTTACCTGGTATAAAATTTAAAATATTATTAGAAATATTTAATAGATATAATTATATACAATTAATATAAATAAATTAGTATTTTTAATCTTATCTTTTAGATATAGTTGCTAAGTTAGCACAATCATCTTCAGAATCAGAATTGGATAAAGTTGAAGAATTGGATAATCAAATAAACACTCCTAATATTCCAATGGATGTTTCATTAATTCAACAAGAATTAGAAGTAGAATTTCATGAAAATTTACTCGCTTTTCAAGATACTGTACCAAGATATATGAAGAATAAAAAATCTCGTCGTCAAAGGAAAAAGACAAAAAAAGATGGTGAATTATTATTATATTCTTTTAATTATATTTTTTATATCTGTTAAAATATATTTTTCCAGAATGTGTAATGAATGAAATGTTGGCCAATGCTAAAGTTAAATTATGGTCTGCATGTAAATTAGGTGATAATGAATTATTGACATCTGTTATTAAAGATTTATTAATTCAAGTAGAAAAAAGTTTTGATTTAGAAGAACAAAATAAAGAAGATATAACTATAAGTTCTCATTCAATTATAAACAAACATGATATAACAAAATTGGTAAATGATTGTAACGAAGATGGTAATACGATGCTACATTTAGCAGCCTTGGGTGGACACTTAAAATTAGTGTGGTATATCAATGTTAGCCTAACTTTTTTTTTATTTTATAGAACTTTTATCTAGTTATTCGATTTTAGGCAATTATTGGAAATTGGATCAGATCCTTGCAATAAAAATAAGAAATTACAAACACCATATGCAGCGGCGAATGATAAGGAAACTAGAAATATTTTTAGAAGATTTATGGGCGCTAATCCCGATAAATTTAATTATAGCAAGGTATTTATTATTGTTTATTTTCTTTATTTATTAAAATTATTTTTATTTATTACTATTATAAACTGATACATATATCTATTATAAAGTCTCAAATACCTGGACCACTTACTGATGAAATAGAACAAGAAGAATCGGAAAAAAAAAGACAACAAAGAAAAATAAAGCGAGAAAAAGATAAATTGAAGAGAAAAGAATTTGAACTTAAAAAGCAAGAAGAAGATGCAAAACAAAGATACCTTTGTCTCAGTGATAGAGAAAAAGTATATATTTTAAAAAATAATTATAAAATTTATAAATATTGTATTAATAAATTGAATCATTAAATAGTATGAATTTCTACATACAGAGAGCATTGGCTGCAGAACAACGCATTTTAAAACAAGGCTGCACTGTGGTTTCACGATGTTTTCAATGTGGTGTGGATATGGCAGGTCAGGTGCCTTTCGAATATAATTCCAATCATTTCTGTTCTATGCCGTGCCTAAAAGAACACCGTCTTCGTAACAAAGTAATTATCTGATAGGTCTTATATTTACTATTTTAAATATATTTCTACGAGTTGCTCTTATTTGTTCATCACATATAATTTTCGTCAATAGTGGAACTTTTGAAAACGTAATTAAATAATCATGATATAACAATTAAAATTTAGACATACTATGTTCATAATATATTATGATAATTTCAAGATATGTAAATTTAAAATGCGTTATGTTTTGCAAATCTATGCATATTTATTATATAATTTAGATAAAATTTCTTGCATGTATTTTTCAAGTTTTTTTAAAAAAAAATTATAAAATGTAACTTGATGTACATACAGGAATTTTTATAATATATGCATTTTGGCAAAAAAATGATAAATTATTTTAAAACTTATGAATTTGAATCATTTTTCTATTTGATAAAAATTAATTTGTAACGAGATTCAAAATATACAAAGATCTCATATTTCTTAAAAATTAAATACATTTTATATACTTTTTCCTTTGGTTATATCTTTTTGGTACAACATTTTTAATCGTATATTAAATGACATATATAAAGGACTAACAATTTTATGATTAAGATAACTAAGTTTCACATTCATGACCGTAATATTACATTCATACTGAGTTTAAGATATTATAACGTTACATCGATTGCGTTATGCTGTTATAATATCATAACATTGTAATACATATCAATATAATTGTGTAATGTTCAAGCGAAATACAAATTTTTTGGAATGTTTTTATGAGGCAAATATTCGTTATATATATATAATATGAATTTGAAATAAGAGTCACACGAATCTCATTGATGACTAGCATAGAAAATAAAAATATAAATTTCTCGACAATCATACTATAAAATTGTAGAAGTGTCGATAGTTTGTTGACAAGAAAATGAACATTTCATTCACAGTTTATGTATTTGATGGTAGCTAGTGGTAGCTAGTTAGATTATATTTTTTTCGATACATTTTCTTTCATTCACAGCAATCATTAAAAAATTTTATATTTTAAATACGAATAATAGTGACAATAAAATATCAAACCATATCCTGAATTTTAAAAATTTCTTAACTATACATCGCAATAAGCATAACAAAATTAATTCAAATATTTACAAGTTGTTTTAATTATATTTTAATAGAAATAAAATTTCTCGTTCGAATGAAAATAATACATTGAGATCTAAAAATCATTACAAATATGATAATATGAGAAAATAAAATTGGGATCGGACATATCAGTTTTCGTTATTTCGTTTCCAAGATGTACTTTAGGCTAATCAAACTGTTATCTAATACATATCCTTGACTGGTAACTAGAAAATATCAATTTTCATAAAATTCGTAGCATTTTATGCTTTAAGTACACAATATGAATTTTTTCTTTAATCTCTCATTGCACCAATTTACAAATATCATTATAAATTAATTGGACAAAATTTCTTTGTTTTATCTATTCGATTAGTATCGTTAGTTTAATTTAAATGGACGTGGAATCATCGGAATCCGTATCCTCACATTCATCATCATATAGTCTGTGAATATTTCCATCGATCCAATTATTCTCTATCTTTACTTCATATCTGTTTTCTTGAGTTTTATTCGAAGGAACAATTCTCACATATGTATTCTTCATATTTTTCAATTCGGATTGTATACCGGTGTTTCTCAACATTGGACTCCTTTCACCGCTGCTCACTGATTTCGAACGAACTTTGTCTGTAATTTTCTCGCCTTCCATCGATTCCAAAGAGCTTTTCCTCCGACTATTCCTTCTATTACTTTTCTCCTTGTTGCTTGTTGCCATCTTTCTTCCTACTTTCGGACTTTCGCTTTCTAAATATTTTCTAATCCATTTTGGGGTCTCGCTCGAATAAGATGATTTTTTTACATACTTTGGATTGGCCATTATCATTGGTACATCCGTCTCGATCACTGTAGTAATTACTTGTTCATTTTCATCAAAATTACTTTCTAAATATTTCTTCTTTGGTATCGCAGACATGCTTATCTTTCCGAATATCGAGGAACTGTCATCTGTACTTTCGTACGTATACGAGTAATGTTTTTGAATATGTTTAGGTTCATCGACAATATCGACAAGAATTTCTGAATTTGAAATTTCGTTCTTTCGATTTTCTTCTTTTTCATCCTTTCGAAATCTTTCCAGGGCTTCTTCGAACAAATGCTTCGGTGATTTTCTGCCAAAATCGAGAGGCTTAATTGGAGAGATTATACTCTGCCTTAAATTGCCGGTAATACTGTGTCTTTGCCTCATTGGTGGGTCAAGCAATCGGCGTAGACTCGAGTTTCTTATTTCAGGCACTGACATTCTTTCCCTGGTAGGAATAGGTGAAACTGATCTATGAAGTTTGCTCGCTCTAAGTGTTGTTTGATCCTTATGTTGCGTAGAAGACGACGTTGCCGAATTAACCGCAGTTGTTATTTTACTTAACTCGGTTGACAACAATTCTCTTTCGCTCGGTGGTAATATTGGAGTCGTACTTGCCACGAGCACACTTCCAAGGCCTTCTCTGGTGGGGCTTTTAAGTTTACCTCCTGGGATTCCTGTTTGCTCTTCAATCTTAGTTTGCTGGTGTTCATTGATAGGTGAACTAGCGATTGGCAATAATCTAGACCGAGTTACATCTTGATTACGTGTCAATTGGCTATCTAAACTAAATCTCTGCTTTGGTGTGCCAGCTATCAATAACTTAAGATCATTTTGCGTCTCCAGTTCGGGTATTGAAAACCTATCCCGATTAAATTTCGTCGCAGCTGTCTCTTTGAAATTTCTATATTTAGCACCAATATCTAATTGCGACAACCGTTCTCTCTGACTAGCGTGTATGGCAGGAGAGAATCTTTTATGTTTAACAGACGGTGGAGAAGGAGAGTGAAAAACCATTGTCGGTAAATTAAGATCTTTCCCTGTACTTAGGCAAGGTTGAGATAATCTCTGTTGACCACGACCGGGATGATAATCACCGATAACTAGGGTTGATTGAGAGAGACGGTCTCGTTTCGCTGGTACATCCTGCCTCAAGATAAACCGTGTCACATCCGACTGAGACAATCTCGAGGAGCCTTGATCCATCCAACTTCCTCTTGAGCTTCCGCTAAAACCTTGCACACTCCGCGCTGATAATCTTTCTTCCTCGTTGATACTATTATCCCCAGAAGCTGCTCTAAGACTCGGGTAAGACAGTCTGGAGCTACGATTCATCCCGGCAAAGTTGATACCGCTGAAGCTCGAGTTCAACGTAGGCTGAGACATCCTAATACGCCGATCAGCCGAACCTCCGGATCTCTTTTCGTGGGATATCAAAAGAGTGGGCAGATTCGGTTGGGAATAACGACTTCGTTGACTTGGAGAGTAACTCGGTGGACAGGGTGTGGTTGATTGAGTTCCCTCGTACGTCGCGGAGTCTTGGGACTCGATACTGGACTGCGATTGGGGAGGTGGCTTAACGGGAGTAATATGAAGATTTGGATGGGACAGTCGATTTTTACGAACTTGGGTGGGTTTCTTTAAGTGGTCGATAAGGTTGGGCTGCGAAAGACGAATGTAAGGAGTGGGTGGTCGGTTCAGGTACCAGAGGTCCCGTCGGGAATACGGTTCGCATCAAAGGGTGCCTTCCTCTCGTAAACGGCGTATGAAAACTGGTCGCACATCCTCGAAGAACGAGGGCAAATCTAATTCCGCCGCACGCGCGATACCACCGTCCTTACATTCCAGCCAGTATGTATCCATCAGTCCTTTTCCCTGAAAAAAAAATTTTCTTATCATATACACACACACACACACATATAACTTGAATTATTTACCTTAACATCGACCAAACCACGGCGTACAATTTTGAAACCTCCCACAGCGTCCAAAGCCTTTTTCATTTCTAGACTGATATGTATTCTCAGGGCTTCGTGTATACATACATATATATATATATATATATATATATATAATATATATATATATATATAATAAGTAGTAAGTTAAAAATTAAATTAGTAA